TATATGTAAAAGAATGCACACTGAATCTCTGAAGGTAGGATCACCCACCTCGGATCTTACAAGGCCATATTTGAGCTTCAAGGTCAAAACTCGCAAAGGTCAAAACTGGATAGATTTGCCACTCGTTTCTGCAAGTGCGCGCTCCGTGTCCCAATCTTTTGGCCTACGGCCGCATGGCCCGGGGCGCCAGCGCTACCGCTTCGACGGGCGAACGAAACGACATGAAGGAAAAAGGTGTTCGATCTCATCCAACATCTCCCAAAACCCAACTTAGCCGATAGCCATCTGAGCTTGGCAAACAAAAGCCTTCAGGGTTCCCAACAGACCTTCTCTTTGACCTCCCAAAAGACCCCTCTCCTTGGGCTCCAAGGTTCCCCCAGCGAAGAGCACGGCCTGGTGTGTTCGGGTGGACCGAGGACCCAACCAAAACAGGTCGCCAAATGGTTGGGACACATAGAAACGGTGCTCGGGTTCAGATGCTCTGAATCCAGATCATGCGATGCTCGGAATCAGAGGATGGTGGGATGCGAACGGAGCGGATGCAGTCTGATGCATCGCGAAGGGAGTGGCCGGTCTGAGAGGTGGTCACACACCTCCTTGAGACCGGTTCCGACAGCTCCGACAGAAGGGGCTCCATCCGACTGCGGCCGAGGAGAGAGTTAGTTCATACAAGCCAAGTTCGTTGGCTCCAAAGGGAAGAATGTGCTCACAACTCTGTACAGCTGGGTTTAACGGCTTTAAAACTCTTTCTTGTATCTCATGCACACCGCTTGGTTGGGAGACAAGTCATTGTAAACCTCGAGGTTTTCTCTTCCTTTTGAACGAATCTGGACCAAACCAACACCAAACATACCCACACGCAACCTCGACTTCTCCAAGCCACCCGGGCACCCATCAAAGCTTCCTTGAAGCGCGCCTACCGCTCGACCGAATCGAAGAAGGCAACGGTCACGTCGGCAGGTTCGGGGTGCCTCCGCGTTCATGATTGTTCCATGGAAGAAGAATCATGTACCAGGTTTTGTAGGAGGGATCTTCGACCTTTGCCATTGCTTCAGGGATGAGAATGGATGAGATGTGCTAACGAGGTGGTGCAATCCTTTTTTGAGACGTGTCTCCAGTTTCACACGTCTGCTCTGAAGTTCTGGTTCTTTGGAGCAAGTTCAAGATCCACTGATCTACAGCATGAGCAACCACCATGGAGAATATGGATCTCACAAACGATGCGGCCTACCGCCTTGATCCTGATATAGATCATTTTGCTGACCTGCAGGTAGGCACTGGTGCTCAAAACCTGGTATCAATGAGGTGCCTCCTCTCGCCGAAGAACCACTGGTTTTGCTCCCGGCAATCGCTGCAAACCCCGTGGCATGACCGGCGTCCGCCCTGGCGTCCGCCCAGGCCTCAGCGTTTAAGCTGAGGTAGCGTACCGAAGCATCACTGCCCACAGTGCCTGACAGGGACCCCTCCACTTCGCGACGAGGGCAGCTGCTGTGCTGGCAACATCGGGCAACTAAGGTTCGCAGCATGCACGGACATCCTCTTCACTAGTGGAAACCATGAAGCATTGAAGCATTAAAAAAAAAATATGGATGAAGATACCATGAAATCAACTTCACTTCAGCCATTTGGTATCTGCTTGTAAGCCATCTGCGCCTCCTACCCTAAAGCCAAGATCTGACACGCCACTGGGATCCCCAACGTGCTTCAGAGATGATGCGGTCCTGGCTCATCACTGGGAGCGCATCGGAGCGAGCCGCAACTCGCAGGCGTTTTGCTTCGGGGTGTTCTCCGAAACGAAACGAGCAGGACTAGCAGGACCCTTTTTGGGAGGCTTGCGGCTAGCGTTCTTCTTTTGTTGGTGGGAACAAGGGCATGAGAACACAAGGGAGTCGAATGAATGAAGCCTCTGAACGGAAGCCCGTGTTGCAAACCTCCCCGAACTTCTGCTCAGTAGGAGCAATAGCTACTTTATATAAATATGTAAGTCAACCTGGATGAACGATGCCAACATTGACATAGATCTTGCCGTTGACAGAGGGATGTAACCAAACAAAAGATCAAACGATCGGAACAAACGTTTTCTTCTTTGTGCCGGTTTCCGCCTGCATGGGAGCAGGTGATGTGCCCTTTTGGCCGATGTGTAGCGTGCTTAATTGTTTTCTCACGTGGTCATAAGGCTGATTGTTGTGGTGATCGACATGACTATCATTGCTTTTCCATAGTCTCTTGTCATTGCCGGTGTTTCGTCTTGCCATTGCTCTCATCAGCTTGTCATCATGCTGTCATTTTGTTAAAAGTTCACTTTGTCTTGGCGACTTGTATTGCTCCACGCTTGGCCTAAACTTGACAACCCTGCTCACACCCTCCATGGACCATTGATCGCCCCAACTGCAGTGAATCTCCTCATGCCACAGGAGTGTCACAACAAATCACAAGAAGGTAGGCAAATAAGTTTGTGTAGATCGAATTGGACCTGGACTTGGAGCTGCAAAGTCATTTAGACCAACACCACTTCAATAGCTAAGTTTGGATCTATGAACTGAGTATTTCAACTCTATATCTCTATGCACCATATATAAAATCCGTTTCATGCGGTTGCTTACTTCTCTCGGAATTGATGAGTGGAAGTGTGTGAGGCCATAGAACATGGAGCTCTGGACTGCCAATCTGTACCAATCTGGTAAGCCCGCGTTGCCTAAGAAGTCTGCGTCAGTCTATGCGTCAGTAACAAACGCTTCTAGGTTGGAGGCCATAGCTATTGAGGCAATCGCTATTAGGTTGGAGGCCATCGCTATTAGGTTGGAGGCCTAACAAGGCATGCCTTGCCATGCGTAGCGTAGCGTACGAAATCAGCCCGTGCTCTCCTCAGCGCTGCTGGACTGAAGCGCTGTTAGTAAGTCTGCAAAGACATAGATCGAGGACCTCAGCACACGAGAAGCGATGCTCAGAGTCCTTCCTTAAATGTGAAAGCATGAATTGTAGAGCCCAAGGACTCAAACCAATTTGATGACTTTGCTTCCCTTTCATCGATCCTCATCCACCAAACCCAACCAAAAGGCCATGAAACTGGAACTCTTCCTCCAGTTCAGGCCGTGGACCGGGCCAATCACGTCGGCCGTGGAGATGGCGGTAGGCTTTGCATCGGTCGGTTCCACCACCGACCCCTTTGACCCCTTTGGAAGAAGGAGCCCCGTTCGTAGCGTCCGATCGCTCCGTTCGTAGCGATGCCAGGAGCCCCTTACTCGTAGCGTCCGATCGCTCCTAGTAGTAAGACCAAAAGCAATTGATTGGGGGGAGGCCCCGACTCAAATACACACCCACAAGGCAAAGCATCTGGGATCCATTCCAAGATCTCAAGAACATTTGGAAAACAAAACAAAACGGGAGCCTTCTTGACTTTGAAAAATGATCTCCGACCACCTTGGCCATAGCAATCAAAGTCAACCATTTGCTGCATGAAGCAGGGTGGGGGGGACTCCGAAGTTCCGTCGGGTCGCCTAACCTTTGCTTTTCATTGGGCTGGGAACGTTGCAAATGCTACTAGTAGCTTCTAGCTACTGGTAGTAATGGCCTCCAACCTACTAGCCATGGCCTCCACCCTAGTAGCTTCTAGCTACTAGTAGCGATGCCTCATTTGAGACGTCTCATGGTTGCTTTCCTGGCTGCCACGACCGTGGTGGTGCGTGGTTCCCATGGTTTCACCGCCTCTCCTGGGTGCCACGCTGGTTCACTGCCACGCGATCGCTGCGTTGCTTGGACACCGCGAGCTTCTCAGCAAAGTGGCGCACCTGTTCGTCGTTTGCCTGTGACCCACCCGGCTTCAAACAGAAGGGATAGGAATGGGTTCAATTCGCCTTAAGCCTTATTGCTTAACGCGAACATGTCGGAAAGGCGAGTGGAAAAGACTCGCCTTACAAGGGGCCTTTTCAGCTTAAAAATCGGTCTGTCTTATCATTTCCTACAACCAATCTGACGTCCAGGTAAGCACCGAGGACTCCTCTGACCAACCGTCCAACAAAAACATCATGCAGCTTGTTGGATTGGCGGCGCCGGTTTCCGCGCCAAACCTAAAAGGGCTCAGTTCCAATACCGCGAAGACCTGTGATCCACGAATTGGCAAGACCAGAAGGAACGGTGTATCGAATAGACATTGGGAAGGAGTCCGACGGGGGGGGGTTCTTCACCACGAAGACCTCAGACCTGCTCTCTGTGTCTTTTTTGGAGGTGCTTGTTTGGGTCCCCAAAAGAGAGATAGTAGTAACAAGTGCCACGCTACTAGGAACAAGTGCCTTACTAGTAGTAACAAGAAGCTACTAGGAACAAGTGCCTTACTAGTAGTAACAAGTGCCACGCTATCAGTCTCCATTTGCTTGTTGTTTCGATTCGGGCGACGCGGGTTTGATTGAGTTGGTTCCGACCAAAGGACGACAGACGACACGACCAGCGACTGGACCAGTTTTTCCCTCGCGATGACTGGGAGTGCGTTTTGTTCCGCAAAGAGCTGCTGGACACATCATGTTCAGCCAGACTTGTGTGTCAGCAGAGCTCATATGGCTTGCACTGGCTTGCACGCAAGTGTCGTGGGTATGGATCAAGGATGTTCAAGGTCAACACATGGCCATTGTGACTCCTGTTTTGGGTCAAAACGGGTTCTCCGCAAAAAACGTTGAATGCATTTGGGCGTCCTTGGAGGAGAAGGACTAATGGTCTTCACCCATCTGCAGCTGCGGACGAGATCACCACACCCGGTGGATCCCACATCACTTGTCCAACGTATCCATCAGCCTCATCGTCCAGATGACGCTGATATTCACGCTTTCACGTGGAGAACCAAAAACCGGAGTCGCTCGCCGAGCACTTCATGGATGAAAGTATCGGACCCCACATCCTCTCCGACTCACTAACATGGAAGCAGAAAACCACGGAAAACCCATTTCGGAGTGTAACCGATGTCAGAGTCGGAACTAGCCTTAGTTTATTTGGACCGTTTTGGTGTTTTTGGTAGTTCTTCGGGGAAGCAAGGTCGAGCTAAGACTCCAATTCACTGTTTTGAGCTCCCTCTTTTGTGCCACAAATGTGTGGAACAAAATGCTCTAAACTGCCTAGGAATTGACATGACGAACTGGAAAGGTCTCAGGGTCGAGTTCAGCTCACTTGCAGCTTCGTCTGCAGCGTTTTCACTAAGTGCTCCAAGGTCTTTAGAAGCTCCACCAGCTGATCACTTTCCTGTAGCTTTCCTTCCAATTCACTCCTTGGCTCATCCATATGGACACAAAATGTCAGTTGATTGCTTCTGCAAAGAGAAGGGCAACTAAGAGGGCAAGCAAATCGAAGCCTGAGTCAGACATGTCATCCAAGAATCATGGGCAATGTGAGATTCAGTGCGTCGTAGGGCACTGTTTGGTTGTTGAAGTAATCCGTGGCGTCAGTCCAAACGATCAGGATGTTCCCACTTCCTTGGATGTGCTGCTGAAGAGAGGCGTGGGAAAGAAAAACAACTAACCTATACTTCGTATTCCCCGTCGATGCCCCAAGAATCCAATCGAATCATCTCAGCTGGCTGCCACGTGTCTTGCGATCTTCTGGTTCCGACTGATGCGATCCAGCCTGTAGCTGGCTGACTCTCCTGAAGTGCCGCTTCGGGTGCGGCTCATGCCAGAGCTTTGGGTTCGATGTGAGTTGGCATCCGGCGCCGCACATCCAGAGGCTGGCTAGACTGGACACACACATCGATGGGACGACCCCCCCCGAAGATGGTAAAGGTTGTTGGAAAGGGCAGGAGGTCCAAATTCAGAACACCACGAGGCCCAAACCGTTTGTTGCAGGCTTCGAAAGCTTTCGACAACAGCCCAGTGAAACACGTTGGGAGAGCCGACTGGCTGTCGTCCGACGACTGCTCGTCGTCTCTAAGGTCGTCTGAACCGGTTCGACAGGGCCACTCGCCCTGTCGGCCAAGTTGTGGCCACGAGTGGCCTGCATCCCGGCAGCGGTTCTTTCTCAGAAGCTTCCTAATAGGGATGGCCTCCAACAGAATAGCGATGGCCTCCAACCATAATGCATGGAAAGAAACGGCCTCCATGGCAGGAAATGGTAAATGAGAGACCCCACCCACCTTTGTGGTGTTTTCAGGTTTGCAGGACTCCTTCCCAGGAGCCCAAGACCTTTCAATTGGCTCTAAGGAGTGGCTCTTCTGATCTCCAACAAAGGTGCCAGAAGGGGTGATGAAGAGGCAAAAAAGGAAGCAAGCGCGACCAAATGATTTCAGGAAGGCCATACCTATTAGGTTGGAGGGCCATCGCTATTAGGGCTAGCGGCTAGCTATTATGGTTACCACAAAACAATCCAGCAGGTATTTTAGACTACCTCCGTGAGGGATTTGCCTGGCCCGCCCAGCCAAAGAGACATCCGGAGATGAACGTGCGGAGGGACCGCGAGCCCGGCGCGGCAGCCTGCAAGGGCTTAGGGTCGGTTCGTCTGGTGGGTTCGTCCGTGGAGAGTTCGAACCGCGCGATGCTGGCCTCTTTTTCCAGCTCTTGATCAAAAAGGGCTATGTTCAGTCCCTTAGGTCTTCAGAAACTTGGTGCACTTCTCGATTTCCGCGCACGGTTCTTCAACTTCAAACTTGGTACACTTCTCTTTTTGTGCACCGGCACTCCCCTTTGCCAAAGTGGCAAATCGAGGTGCCTCTCAAAACCCCCTCTTTGCGGGGGGCTCAAGCCCTCATTCGCGGAGTTCGGAAGAGGGTATATATAGCCTACCCAGGTGAAGTCTAAATGAATTCCCCTCTTTCCGTTCCTCTCGTCGACATAGATCACCTTTCGCTTGGAAATCGTCGACCATCGGCCCCACTCCTCTTCCAGCAGGATCTTGGACTCGAAGTCGTAGACCTTCTTCTTCTCCTGATGGTGCGCTCGGATGGCGATCTTTCGCCCTTTCTCATGGTCGATCAGGTGCTTCGCTGCCGTCCTCATTCAAGAACCTCTTCTGGAAGCCTGGAGTCGTCGGGTAGTCCCACATCTCCTCCTCATGGCACCACTTTCCAAGCGTCACGTATCCCCTTCCATCTCCAGGGTCGTGGGAGATGAAGTGCACACCATCCGAGTCCATCATGACCCAAGTGCCCCCGTCATGTCTGGGTCCCCTCTTCACCATGTAGCGGTTCCATGCGCTCACCGGCAAGCTCCGCCTTTCCTCCGCCTCTGCGTCATAGGCCCCACGATGCCAAAGGTCCGGATCGTATACTGGTGGTTGATCAGAGGCTCCTTGGTGACCATGAGATAGTCCCGTGCCGTCAGTCTGGGTTTCTGTCTCGATCGCTGTCTCTCACGGGGTTGGAGATTCTGTCGACTGGATTCCAGTGCTCCTGACTTGGTACAGTGGATCATCTGGGTCAGCCCATGGGTAAGCTCATGTCCCGAGTAGCCAAAGCCTCTTGACCCACGGGTGGTCTTAGGTTGCAGGGGGCAATTCGATCGCAATGCCCGTCTTCAATACACTCGTGGAGGCACCAGTGTCTCGATGACCGAGTAGAGATCGAGTCCTGCAGCCTGGTCAGAACCCCTCGTATGTTGAGACGGTCCATCCATAATGTTTTCCTTGGATTAATAAAGCACCCCAGAATAGTGAGTTTTTCCTGCACAGATTAATAAAGGCCACCAGAATAATGTCGTTTTTTTTTTGGGAGGGGTAGTTGTAGTGGGATATGTTTTATTGTTATAGTTTACTTGTTCCTTTTTGAGTTTGCTGAGATTTGCTTATCTTACAGGCTTTTGGATGGAGATTTTTTTTAAACATTTAGAGATTTCCATTGAGATTTGATGCTTTAGCTTTGCTGTGCTTAGTTATCATCAAAGCTTTACTTTTGAAAAGCTCTTTCACCTAGGGTTCCAAAACTTCCAAAAAGGATGTGTGCATTTTCTTTTCAAAATCCCTGATTAAAAAGTATTGAAGAAACAAAAAATCATTCCAGCAAAGGGGGTCATTATTTTGGGGGGGCCCCTAGATTAATGTCTAGAGATTTGGAGCTTCTTGGATTGCAGCTTTCTTGAAACTGATCCTTGCTCTTTTGTATTCTTTTCCTTCAGCTTTGCTGTGCTTAGTTATCACCAATGCTTTACTTTTCAAAAGCTCTTTCATCTTTAAGGATTCCAAAACTTCCAAAAAAGTATGTGCGCACTTTCTTTTCAAAATCCCTTATTAAAAAGTATTGAAGAAACCAAAAAAATCATTCCAGCAAAGGGGGTAGTCCAGCAAGCAAGTTTCTGTCATTACTTTTGGGGGCCCCTAGATTAATGTCTAGAGATTTGTAGCTTCTTGGATTGCAGCTTTCTTGAAACTGATCCTTTTCAAAAGCTTTTATCTTCAAGGATTCCAAAACTTCCAAAAAGTATGTGCACATTTTCTTTTCAAAATCCATTATTAAACAGTATTGAAAAACAAAAAATCATTCCAGCAAAGGGAGTAGTCCAGCGAGCAAGTTTCTGTCATTATTTTGGGGGGGCCCCTAGATTTTAATGTCTAGAGATTTGTAGCTTCTTGGATTGCAGCTTTCTTGAAACTGATCCTTTTCCTTGTGTTTTCTTTTACTTTTCAAAAGCTCTTTAGCTTTCAAGACTTCCATTGAAATTTTATGGATTTCCATTGGAATTGGATGATTTTGAAGGTCTGTGGATGCTGAACTCCATTGAAATTTTTTAGATTTCCATTGAGATTTGATGAATTTAAGTAATGAGTCCTTTTATTTCTAGTATGGCCAGAGATGGCCAAGACATGATTCCTTTCATTTTTAGTATTGACAGAGATAGCTAAGTAATGATTCGTTTCATTTTAGTATTGCCAGAGTAGCTCCAGAGGTAGCTAGCCAAGGATTCCTTATTTATCTATCAATTGATTGTTTTTCTATCATATTGTTCTGGAGTCTCAATTGTTGATAGGGGGGACCCCGGAAGGGGGAGTTTATAATCAAGAGTCAACATTAGAGTGCTGCCGCCTTCAGAAGGAGTCGCACTTCACCTCCTCCGGCTCCTGATGCGAAGGAGCTTTCATCATTCCTCACCCTCGCATAGTTCCCGCAGGCGACTCCGCGGCATTTCCTCCTCCCGGAACCAGCGTTGCTGCTGAAAATCGCATTGGCTGGCACCAGATCGAAGCCCCTGCCGGTCTCCACCGCCTCCTTCTTGAGCTCCTCCATCTTCTCGCGGCCAACTGGTTCGACTGCCTCGGATTCCACCACCAGCGCACCAGCTTCCATCATGGATGGCCGCCACCCTTCCATGTTCCGTCGAACCTCCGCCAGTCCGACCATTCGGGTCTGGAGAAAAACCTCCGCCAATCCGAGCATTCGGGTCTGGAGAAACTCCGTCGTTTCTTCCATGCTCTTCTCAATGGCCCCCACCAAATCCGAGTTCACCTGCTGCTCGGTCCTGATCGCCTCGTTGGTGATGTCCTCAACCTCGACTGTGAGTGCCTTGATGAACCGTTCATTGATGACTTCTCCTTCATCTTGCTCCAGAAGGCTGAGCTCCTGCGAAAGCAGCCGTGCACCTCTGTTCTGCAGCTCCTGTGTGTGCCCCAAGGTGGTCTTACAACCCTTCAACTTCAAATTTGGTACACTTCTCTTGTGCACCGGCAGGAACAGTCCGGTCGGGTTGCAAAAGGCGAGGGTTGTGTAGACGATGACCAAATCTCAATCAAGCAACAGGCGCAGCCTTCCCAACAGGCTGCCCAACATTGTGAGGATCCTTAGATGGCAGCGCGCCTGCGCGTTGCCTTGCGCGTTAAACCTCAACGTTAAACCTCCACCTGGAGCTGCCTTAATTAGCTTTCATATGGACACCCTGTCAAGCCTCAGTCAGCTCTAGCCGGCTGGCGGACATACACGCCTGTTGGATCAAGGCCGGGTCGATGTGCCTATGCGTTGGGAAATGTTTCAGGTTGAACTTGTACGGCTCGCATGTTGTAAAGGGTCATCGTTTCGGAAGCTCTGCCAATTTCTGTCTGGGGAGCACCAGGCGCTAGCTCTGTTTAAATTCTGAAGTACATTCCTCCTCCATTGATTGGGTGGAGGGCCATGGCCCCCCGAAACCCTTTGCAAGGCCTCCAAAATCGAACGTGGAGATGTTCTACGTGGACCATGCTTACCCTGCAAGATCCAGGCCTTCAGCAACTGGCCCCGCATGAAGAAGACCAACGTGGAGATGCTGAAGCCAAAGAGGGATTGAGTAGATTGCCCTCCCCTATCAGCAGCAACACAGCTCTCCCAGATAGTTTTCCATTTTCACACGCCGCCTTCTGGGAGCATGGAGTCATGTTATGAAATAGCCTTCTGCAGAATGCCAGACATTCCCACATACAGAAAGAACGCATTCATTCTGCGAGTTGCTTTCCTCTGGACTCCCAGCCGCTGCTTGTCTTCTTCCACCTTGCGTTTGGCATTCACTACATTCTGCTTCCATTCTTGCGTGCGGGAAAGGGCCTCGACGTCTGCGTCGCCAAAGGTGCAGGAGACACGCCTGCAAAAGCCGCCGCCTCATTGGCAATGTTGGATTCAGCTGGTGCACCCTCAAATGCCAATGGCTTTTTGGCCTTGTCAGCCTTGTCAGCACGGCCCGTCGGGTTCAGCCCGAATTTCAGGTAGTCCCCGAGGATATGGTTCAAAACAGTGTCTTTGGAGGCAGCGCGCCTTGCTGCCCGCAAAGCCTCCCAAACATACTGTGGCCGGGCTACATTCTTGACTGAGTGAGCGCCTGCCCGCTTCAGGTTGAGGTAAGATAGCTGTAGCTGGTAAAGCTGGAAATCGAAAGCTTTGCACAAGCGCCAAATATATGGCGCATTGCGCTTCGGAAGTCGACGGACTGATCTGCATTGGTTGGCCCTGGCGGTTTCGACAATCTGTCTAGAGCGCAGCCAGACACATTGGCGGCTGGTGGCTCAAAGGCGCTGGTGTCTTCAACAAAGCGGCCCCATTGACCAAAATCCAGCAGTGTGCCTGCCTTCAATGAGTGCAGCTTTGCGCTGACAGATCTCATGGCTTCAACTTCCTGGGGTATAGACAGCGGCTAATTAGGCTGGCAGTCTGTATGATGTGAGTTTAGGGCGAATGGATGTCAGATTCATTCACCTGGAGCCTCAGAGGGTCAGCTGTGCGGGCTGGAAGCCGATCTCAGAGTTGGTTGATGGTTGATGAATTCAATCAAATTGAAGGCGCTGAGGCCTTGGTGTCCTGGGAGAAAGTGCTCATGTCCAGACACAAAAAGGCAGCCTGTATGTGGAAGGGCTACGTCGCTACATGGAGGGGGGGTCTGACCTAGGGGCCTACGTGGAAGGCCGTCAAGGACACCCAACCGCCCAGGTACCCGGAAACTGTCCCAGTGCACCACTGCAGAGGCTCGCCACCGGGCAGAATGGATCACCGATTCGGCTCCGATTGCTGGCTAAATGGAAGGAGTGTGGAGAAGGGGGTCAAAAATTGCCTATACGTTAGTGCATCAAAAACCTTCCACGAAGTTCTGCGAAGGCTTCTGGGATATTGTTGCAGTCAGTTTTCCCACTGGCCCACCACTCCACGAAACGTCCACGAATACGAATTGAATGTCCCGTGCCACTCGTTCTGTGCACTACCCTTCCGTTTGCCTCTGACCGACCCCTTACCCTTAGAAACCTTCAAAAACCCGCAATTAAACTATGCGGAGCCCGCCATGACCCTTAAACATACGTGGATAGATTATGCACAGTCTCTGGAGGGGTTGCCCTTGGCCCGGCCTTCACATATTATAATGGTGAGGCCATTGCTATTAGGTTGGAGGCCATCGCTAGTAGGTTGGAGGCCATTGCGATTAGTTCCTTTTGCTGGTGGGAGGCCATCTGCAGTTTCCTGCTTGAGCAAACTCTGTTCGTGATCTTGCCGTGACAGGGGATTCGCTTACGACGACCCCCCCAAACCGCAGGACTTCCACACGATGCACTGGATATCACTGGATAATTTGTGGAGTTTCAGTGAAGGCTCTGTCCACGGGGGTGCTGGATGGTACCGGGTTCTGTCCGCGCTTGTCCCATGTTCGGACACCCCATGTCTCCTGCGAAATGCAAGATCTTGTCATGGAAGCATGCTGAAGCAAATCTCTGCTTCAGATCCTCTCGCAGCTCCTCTCCACGAAGTTCCTGGCTTCAGTGGGCCGTGGCCCCACCAAGAAATGTAAACTCTCTGGGTCTATCATGGTCGATCATATTAAAACCAGTATCAGTGGATGATGACGACGATGACGATGACGATGACGATGACGATGACGATGACGATGACGA